TCTATTTATATATCTATGTATCACATTGATCTATCAATATCTGTCTATGTACCTATTTGTTCCTATCTCTCAGTATCGATCTGCCTGTATCTATTTATCTATATTTGTTTATATCTATCTATATATCTTTATATCTGTCTGTATCTCTCTGTCTGTCTATATCTGTCTGTATCTCTCTGTCTGTCTATATCTGTGTATATCTTTCTGTCTGTCTATATCTGTGTATATCTTTCTGTCTGTCTATATCTGTGTATATCTTTCTGTCTGTCTATATCTGTGTATATCTTTCTGTCTGTCTATATCTGTGTATATCTTTCTGTCTGTCTATATCTGTGTATATCTTTCTGTCTGTCTATATCTGTGTATATCTTTCTGTCTGTCTATATCTGTTTATCTATCTATATGTTTATTTTATATCTTTATCTGTTCTATAAATCTTTCTGTCTGTCTAATCTCTGTATATCTTTCTGTCTGTCTATATCTGTATCTATCTTTCTGTCTGTCTATATCTGTTATATCTATTTCTATCTATTTATATATCCATGTCTGTCTATCCATCTATATCTATATATCTATGTTCCAAATATCCATCTATATCTATCTATATCTGTTTTATCTATAGACATCTATTTATATATCCATGTCTATATCCATCTATGTCTATCCATGTCTATATCCATCTATGTCTATCCATGTCTATAGACATCTATGTCTATCCATGTCTATAGACATCTATGTCTATCCATGTCTATAGACATCTATGTCTATATCCATGTCTATATCCATCTATGTCTATCTATGTCTATATCCATCTATGTCTATCTATGTCTATATCCATCTATGTCTATCTATGTCTATATCCATCTATGTCTATCTATGTTTATATATCTATCTATGGCTATATCAGTCTGTATCTATATATCTATATATACTGTCTATTTACATCTATATATCTATATGTATGTGAGTATCTATCTATCTATCTATCTATCTATGTCTATCTATCAAGTACAAAAGAAGGCTGACTTCCCTAAGGATGACTTGAAACAAATTTCACCAACATGTTATCTTAATTAACTCATTATTCTTTACTGTCAGCAAGAAAGTTGAATGACATGTTTGTTGATTTTGTTTCATGAGTCAAACTTTGGAAGTAAGATTATCAGGTTGTGAGAGGTGGCAGTGGGGAGGAAGCCTCAAGGTTTGCAGTTGACAGACATTGTGAACTGATTTGTGTTTTCTAAAAACAGAATCAATTAAAACAGATATTGATCTCTTTTTTTAATCCTTTTCATTAAGAGATGTTTTATTTGTTTTAAATTAAAAAAAAATGCCTCCTGACATTGCCTTGTAATTGTTTATTATTTTATGAGTGGCAAAGTCAAATTTAAAATAGCTCAGACTGAATAATCCTGTGTTGAAAATAATAAACAAATATTGGGAATAAGATGGAATGTTTTTGAAGGTGTTATTTAAGTTTACCGATTTAAAGACCTGATAATTGTAATGCATTTCTATAGTGATTTACAATGAATTTTTTAAAGTAAAATAATTTTCAGTGAATTTCTATAGATGCTTTTAGTTTTCACTGTGTTATTCTATGTGGGATCATTTTTTGTGAATGAAAGTTTTGACATATTTAATGCATTTCTATAGTAAATATGTTGCAATGCATTTTTTATAGCAAAATAATGCTCAATGAATTTGTATAGCTGCTTTTAGTATTTGCTATATCATCTATATATGCAATCATTAGAGTGAATAAAAGTTTTGAGATATTTAATAATTACAATGCATTTTTAAAGTAAAATAATTTCCAGTTGATTTCTATAGATGCTTTTAGTATTTTCTGTGTCGCTATATATGCAGTTATTAGAGTCAATGAAAGGTTTGATATATTTAAGAATTCTAATGCATTTCTATAGTAAATAATTTTCAATGCATTTTTAAAGCAAAATCATTTCAAATTAATTTCTATGGATGCTTTTAATGTTTACTACATCACCCTATATGTAATCATTAGAATGGATGAAAATCTTGACATATTTAATAATTGTAATGCATTTCTATAGTATATAATTTGCAATGCATTATTATAGTAAAATCATTTCCAATGAATTTCTATGGATGCTTTTTGTGTTTGCTACATCACTCTATATGTAATCATTAGAATGGATAAAAGTCTTGACATATTTAAGAAATGTAATACATTTCTATAGTAATTTACATTGCATTTTTATAGTAAAATAATTGGTGCATAAAACTGGATAAAGACTGCAGGCAAAATTTGAAGAATATGACAAATGGAAAACTGTTTCATTGAAACTAGATTTATGTCTTATCTTTCTAGGTTGCATCAAAATGAAAAATGAAAAGTAAGGTATTTTACAGTAAATAATTTACAGTGCATTTTTATACTAAAAATAATTTCCAATGAATTTCTATAAATGTTTTAGTATTTGCTATATCATTCTATATGTAATCATTAGAGTAAATGAAACCCTTGATATACTTAATAATTGTAATGCATTTATGATAAATAATTTACAATGTATTTTTATAGTAAAATGATTACTAAAAAAATTTTTATTCATGCTTTTAAATTTATTTTGACACTTTATATGTAATAATTATTACATATACAATTATAATTAGAATGAGTGAATGTTTTGAAATATTTTTGAAATTGTTACATAGGAATAAAGTGTTGCTACCGACACTGGAGTTTGAACACAGATCATCAGAGAGCAAACACAGGCAATCCCATTTTCAATAGGTAGATCACGTGATGGTAAAGGAAATGCATATTTGGGAATGAGCAGATTACTATATGGATTACTATTTGGGTGAGTATTATTGAGCAAGTACTATTATTGTGAGTGATATTTGAAGGCATCTGACACTAGTATTGTTTACGGTGTTACTATAGTTGTATCTATGATTACAAAGTCTCTACTATAACGAGGATTATGAAAGTGACAACGAGTATTTGTTGACATTTAAAAAGTGGCAATGAGTGTTCGTTGACATCGCAAAAGGAATAGAAGCTGATTGTACCTTCATTTCTCCTTGACCAGAATGCAAACAAATGTCACAGTTTGAGAATTGTAATGGACATTTATAGTAAAATAATTTCCAATGAATTTCTATAGACCACAATGTAAGTTATTCTAGACAAGCAAATGTCACATACACAGTTTGGTCATTTATAAGTTGTTTTGCAGTGCTCATATTGCAATTTTTGCTGTTATTGTTGCATGTTTTTACCAGAGCTCATATTGCAATTTTTGCTGTTATTGTTTCATGTTTTTACCAGAGCTCATATTGCAATTTTTGCTGTTATTGTTGCATGTTTTTACCAGAGCTCATATTGCAATTTTTGTTGTTATCACTTTTCTCTGGCACTCCTTATTACTGGTAAAAAATGATGTTGAAGACATTAGGTTTATAATATCCAGAAATTCATACACAGATGTTTTCAAGGACACATGGCAGAAATGCATTGCAAATCAGAATATTTTACAAACACATTTTATTAAAAATCACCAATTTAAAATCTACTTTGCATAAAAAAACATCCACAGGGACACTTTTTATTTTAAAAGAATAAAAAAAAATATGTTTATGTTGTCTTATTTATATTTATGTCTTGATAATTGAGAAATTTCTGCTGAATGAACTTTGTACAAAATTTTGTGTATGTTTTTAATGGGAATGGTATGATCAGTTTCTCCCTTATAAAGAAACATTCAGCATTCGCTAATGACACGGTTTCTCTTAAAACAGCTTTCCAGGTGTTATGATGTTAATTTGGGGTTAATAAAGACAAACGCCAAATAACATGTAACAATAAAATGGGGTTTATTCAGTTGGTAAGTTGGTACAGATATCGCCTGAGTAGTCTATAACTAACTCAGCCCAGAACTTCTCCGACACTGTCTTTTGACATGCCACTCTTTAACGTCCTTGTTTGTAGACGAGTTCATCTTCAAGAGGGGTGGTAGGTTCCTACACAACACCAGGAAAAATAGACTTCTCAAGTTTACTGTGTAGTATTGACAGGGATTTCCTTCCTAACCTTTTGTTTAAGGTAGGGTGCAAAGTCAACATCTTGATTAGTAAAGATAAAAACTCGCCATTAAATTAATATCCTCTCTGTAAAATCTATGTGGCATCCGGTTTACACTCATCCCCAGTCTTTTGAACAGGAGTAGAGGTTTACCATTTGTTTCCAGTTTAGTATTGTGTTTCCAGTTCCTTCTAAAGTCTACTTCAATGCTATAATTCTGTTTCCACATGAACTCTGAAATTATATTCACTAATGAAATCTTGACTTCTTCAAGTCTAAAAGTAGCTGTTATCTTTCCTGCATAGCCCCAAGAACTTCACTCATACAACACCACACACTAAACCTCTACCTTGAGTGGTTCTTGTGCCTTGTATTGGGTGAACATTAGTAAAAAAAAAAAGTCATTTTCTCTTCTATTTACATATGTGATCCTTTTTACTTTTTTGCTGCTGTTGTAAGTCTTCAAGCAATGTAGTTTTTGATATTTGGTAAAGTTCTTTGTAATTCTATAGCACCAGTCTATGAGATCCAACAAAGGACAGTCATCTTCATTATCATCATGGTTCATTCTTTTGAAGCTGTTTTTTATCATTAATCTAAGAAAATGGTTGTACACAGCTGATAGTTTAGACATTTCTTAAGTTGAGTGCTATGCATAACATCCATATTAGAGCTTACAACTGACAAGGCAATTTAAGAAGATGACTCGAGTTCTTAGCTTAATGTCTTGGCTTTGTAGCATCTTGTGGTATTGTGGGAAACTATCCTTAGCATGGCCTCTCCTAATTTCAATATCATCATCTCTGATACTAAAATTGTTACAACTGATCCATACATTGAGATATTTGAAGTGCTTAGTTTTTAATTTCACATTCTGAAATCTCAAAAAAAAAAAAAAAGCAAAATAATATAAAAATAAAAAAGGACTCACCTGGCATCTCATCAATATGTCCTGTATCTCCCTCACTCCAACCGTGACCACTATCTGTATGGTATGACACCATATCACTGTGACAATCTGGAACCATAAATGTCCTTTCTGCTCTTTCTTCATTTATACGGTCCCCTTCAATTTCCTGGAAGCAGAAAAAAAAAAAAAAACGATAAATCATCAGAAAAGATTCCATGCATTAGAAACGAGATGCTACAGAACTGTCAACTATGCTGAACAAATCACAAATGACACAGAGCAAGACACCACTGGATGAGAAACAGGCCTGTTTGAAGAACTTAACTGGCATCAAGGCAAGAACAGAGTGTTGAAATTGCATGGACACATTATAAGTTCCAATAATCTTTCCACTGCCATTCTACTTGTAGCACCTTAGACAAAAGAAGAAGAGACAGATAGAGGGTAAAAAAGAAAAAAAAATGGGCTGATAATGTCACTAAGTGCCCTGGAAGATCATTCCCAGAGACTCAGACATTGGCATGCACTGGAGACATATGGAGGGAGTTAGTCAGGTGCCCAGCTGAATAGTGACTATGACCACACCCTGTCATGGGACTGATGATGATGATAATAATTGCAGTTACATACAGTTAGACACCTTGAAAGCAAGAGATGACAGAAATACAAACTGAAAAGTTAATGAACAATGCTTTGGCTAAAGAATTTGAATAATATTGTAACACATACAACTTGATTATGTAAACAAAGAAGACAACAGTTTATGAAAAGTGCAGGGAAAATAAGGCTATATGCCTTGATAGGAATGGCTGCATCTAGATGATTCTTGTAGCCTAATCGGAAAGGCAGCCTTGTATAGTCAGGCACTTTAGGAAAAGGAAGCAAAGTTATTCTTTATTTTTAATCTTTCTTATTTACCAATGGTCATAGATTGATGGTTTGAGTAATTGCAATTAAAATCAAGATGAAAAAAAATCAAAGTCAAAATATTAATAATAATAATTAATGATGTTTCATCTAGTATGACTTTTGACAAATCTCCAACTCTAATCACTTGTTATAAACAAGAGCTTTCTTTTTGAAAAAAGGGTTGCTTATAAAACAAATAAATGGATTCTCGAGTGTCTTAATTATTAACAATTATGCGCAATTAATTATAATTATACAATAATTCAACCACCTATGACATCTGAATTCAACTAAATAATCCAGATGAAATATGCACCCATGAATATACAACCCATTGTTTTATAAGTAAAATACACATTTATCTTAACTAGACAAATTTCTCTCTTATGAACATTCCTCTTAATAATAATTTAAAAATAATTCAGCAAATGATGTTATTTTATTTATGGTAACTGGATTTTTGGTGATTGCCTTTCTCAGTTTTCCTCATTCAATACTGTGAATCTGAAAAATGGAGCTTGGTAACAAAGAAAAGAATACTGAGCTCTTACGTGATATCTGTTCTTCTTTATGGCAGCAAATGTTGGACAAGGATGAAGAAGAGACTCAAGGCGACAGAGATGTGGTTCTACAGAAGGATGCTAAGGATATCACGGACCGAGCATCTGAGCAACAATGAAGTCTTAGGTTACAAACAAGGAGAAGGCTTATACTTAGCATCAGAAAGAGGCTGCTGAAATTTCTGGGACGCAAAATGAGGAAGGAGGGCTTGGAGAACCTGATACTCACGGGTCAAATAGAAGGAAAGAGAGACAAGAGAAAGCAGCAAGCAACATACTTGATGAGCTTGAGCAGGTGGATGACAGAATGTGGTCTGGGAGAGGAAGCAGAGGGAAGGAACTTGCTGAGAACTGCAAGGGATAGAGGGAGATGGGAAGCCATGACTGCCGTCGTGAAAAGAAAAGACACATAAAAAAAAAAGAAGATAGGTCACCATAGATTCTCAGCTTTTTTTTGCTAAGATCAAAGTGTAATATCTGTTCTTGTCTGCTTAATCAGATTCTCTCTCCACTTCTATCTTTCTTTCTTTCATTTTCTCACTGACACCAAGTAGTGTTTTTCCCGTTCTTTCCACAGACTCAAAACAGAATAGTCCATTGTTTATGAGATATTGGCAAGGAATAATGATCGTGAAAAAACTAATGAAGGGAGGAACAAAGACAATTATAACAGGATTCCTGACCACTAATAATGCTTTTCTTTCCTCATTTACAAAGCATTTATATAGTAAAGTATTTTTCAATACAAGTCTATAGTAAATCTTATAATGCATTTCTACAGTAAATGTTTATATAAACAGTAAAGGGTGCAACCACTTGTATCAGAGGATGCCAGTCTACTAGGGCATCTAGCTAATCCCCATTGCAGACACCCGCTCAGGCACATTTGTGTTTGTTCAACACTCAGAGCCCATCTGTAGTTTATACTGTAACTATGCTGCACAGACCTAAGTAACAGTTTTTGGGTGAGAGTACATTATCTAGCCTGTTCAGTCTGAACAAGGCTAGTACACTCAAACTCTCAATCATGATGACTTGTTACTTTGTGCTAGCACAACCATCAATGGCTCCCAAGGGTTCTGTCATTCACAAAGCTTGGGTCAACCTAGGTGTTGTAAGTGAAATGTTTATATATTATGCATACACTAGCCATAGTCTGTCAATAAAGTTTATTTCCTTCCCTGACCATATGTAAACACTAGAATAGATTAAAGTTTTGACATATTTAATAATTGTAATAGATTCTTATGGTAAATGATTGGTTACATGTATAAGGTAATATTAAAAGCATCTATACAAATTCATTGGAAAGAATATTGCTATAAAAACACACTGTAAATTGTTTACTATAGAAATACTTTACAATTATTAAATATGCCAAAACTTTCATTCACACTAATGATTACATATAAAGTGACTATTGATATTATTTACATTATTTGACTGTTGGCCACATCTTTATTGCCATATTTATAACGTTTCTTCAGGTGATTGGAATTTCGAACTGAACCATTTATTTTGTCCACTAGGGCAGATTGTTCTAGTTCCACATACCATGCCTCTTTCCGAATGTCTCAGTTATCATCCTTTAACTAAACTTTTCAAGCTTTTGTTCACCACTGTTGTAGCCAGGTATTGAACTCAAAACTCTTTGGGTCAAGTCACTGGATCCAACCAACGATTTTATCCACCTGGTCATGTGCTGTGAATATGGCAATAAAGATAAGGACTGTACAGTCTGAACAATGTGAATAATTATACAATACCTTATGTCAGAATACAGACAGTAATATAAAGTGACATAGCAAATAATAAAAACATATAAGTCATAAGAAGATAGCAATATTTCTATAGTATGTTTAGTATGCAGATGGACAGTCAGTCAGTTAAGTACCACACGTAAGACATGCTTGGGCAATCATGTGTATTTCGATACATGACTGACAAAGCAGATTTTTTCCTGCAGTAGGTTGCCATTTCTTTCTGCGGTAGACTGGTTGCCAACCAAGGCTAAAGGACCCAATCTGTTCTGCTATTCAACCCATAGCTAGGAGAAGAAGAGATAGATTTCTATCTTTCCCAAGGGTATTTATATGTAAGTGAATCCAAAGAAACTCGACAGGAATTCGAACTTGGCTCTCCAAGTTCTCACTAAGAGCTGATATCTATTGCACCACAACATAATATTAACTAAATTTTTTTGTAACACATGATATCACAATATTGTTTATGTATATTTTGCCAAATGTTTTGTTTGTCTTGGCCAGTCTGTTTATCTTTTTCGCTATTTTGGTTTTAGAAGATATGGCCAACCCCATTAATATTAAAATATCAAAGTAATTAGTATGTTGTGCCAGACAATTTTTCACGTCAGAATCCATCTTGTACATTTATACATTTATCATTCATCCGTGCTTTAAATACTGTTGCCATATCTGGTTTGATGTTCTCTCTATATATCTTGAGATTCTTGATAAAATTCAAAGAAGGTTCTGCAATATATTCAATCCTAACCTGGCATCTTGACTTCAGTTACTTTCTCACCAACGTGATATGGCTTCTATTTCACTTTTCTACCAATATTTTGATGACATTTGTTCTGATGAACATTCCCCCTTGGTGTCTTGACTGCATGAATTTAAGCAAACTACTAGATTGGTAACTAGGTTTAACTATTTTACACTTGAACTAGAGAGATGCAAATGTGTTCTATGCAAAAAATTTTGTTTTCTTGCATTCCTTGCCCATGGAACTCCATTCCGATTTCTTGCTTGCCTGTCACCTACAATCTTCAAAAATTTAAATGCAATGCCATTTGCCAATTTTTGTCTTCCTGAAATCTGTTCTTTTATTGTCCTTTCTTCTCACTAAAGTCTCCTGATTCTCTTTCATTCAGTGTAACCCCTTGCGTCCTGATTACATTATTGCCTTTCTAGGGGTGAAATGATACAAACAATAAATGTGGAGGGTTGAGTGGGTAGAAAATTGGTCTTTTAAATATATTCATCTTGTTCGCAAAGAAAAAAGTGTTTGGGTGGGGGAAGCAGGTAAAGAAAAAAAAAACAAGATTTAATAATGAAGAAAGGTGATTTTAACAAAAATTGTCTTTTTTTAATCCAGTTTCTTTTTATGAAGAAAGTTTTCATATGCAACTAGAAGATTTCTAAATGACGCCTGTTACTACTTCAACTCAGACTGTTACCCAAACTGTTACCCTGACTACTTGTCTTTTATTGATGCGTGGTGTTTGGATGAGTATTAAACACAAGAATACGTGTGAATATTTAAATGAAAAATGCTTGCCTCCATTTTAAAATGTGTTACTTTGATACATTACATAATAATAACTATAGATTCCTAAAACCTGAAACTATGCAGATTAACAATTTCATATATGTTTTAAATTATGCATAGATTTTATCTTTTTTTCCTTAAAGGATAAGTTAATTAAACTTTACTTTAAATTTGTATTCAACTCACTAGAGACATTGTATCTAATTGAAAATTTTCAATAAAAAAACGTTTCTATTTTGTCTGAAGCAACTTAATAGCTAGGAAGTGTTTTAACAGAACAAAATGTGTGACACCAACATCCAAAGGTGCACTGAGATACCAAAATGTACCT